TCCCCCATTGATCCCTTCTAAACCTCTCCGACACCCCGTACCCCAGGCCTTCACCATCTTATTATCTGTGTCCATGGGATATGTATATATGCATACAAGTTCTTTGGTTGATCTCTTCCCACCCTTTCACCCTCCCCTACTTTTCTTCTGATATTCTATACTCTGTTTCATGCTTCTCGGTCTCAGCATCCATTTTGTATATTAGTTTATTTTGTTCATTAGATTCCATATATGAGTGAGATCATGTGATACTTGTCTTACTCTGAGTGACTTAACATAATACTCTCCAGGTCCCTAAATGCTGTCTCAAAGGGTAAGATATCCTTCTTTTTATTGTTGCATAGTATTCCATAGTATAAATAAACCCGGGATTTTAATCCACACATCTACTGATGGGCACTTGGGCTGTTTCCAGGTGTTAGCTATTGTAAATTGTGCTGCTATGAACATAGGGGTGCATACATTCTTTCTGATTGGTGTTTCAGGTTTCTTAAGATATATCTCCAGAAGTGGGATCACTGAGTCAAATGGCAGTTCCACATGTAATTTTTTGAGGAAACTCTATACTGTCTTCCATAATGGCTGCATCAGTCTGAATTCAAACAAGTAGTGTACTAGGGTTCCCTTTTCTCCACATCCTCGTCTGCACTTGTCATTTGCTGATTTTTTGATGGAAGCCATTCTGACAGGTGTGAGGTGATACCTCATTGTCTTATAATTTTATCTCTCTGATGATCAGTGACTGAAATATTTTCATGTCTCTTGGCCTCCTGTATGCCCCCTTTAGAGAAATGTTTATTTAGGTCCTTTGCCCAATTTTTAACTAGATTTTTTGTCTTCCTTTTGTTAAGTTGTATGTGTTCCTTATACATTTTGGATATTAACCCTTTATCAAATATATCCTTAGCAAATATGTTCTCCCATACTGTGGGCTCCTTTTTCATTTTGTTGATGGTTTCTTTTCGTGCAGAAGCATTTTATTTTGATGTAGTCCCATTTGTTTATTTTCTCCTTGGTTTCCTTTGCTCTAGGAGGTGTATCTGTAAACATACTGCAGCTAGAGATGTCTGAGATTTTGCTGCCTATGGTTTCTTCTAGGATTTTTATGGTTTCATGACTTACATTTAAATCTTTTATCCATTTTGAGTTTATTCTTGTTTGTGGTGGAAGTTGGTGGTCTAGTTTCATTTCTTTGCATGTATCTGTCCAATTTTTCCAATTCCATTTATTAAAGGGAATGTCTTTACTCCAGTGTATTCTCCTCCTTCCTTCGTCAAATATTACTTAAATGTAATGGCTTGGGTCTATTTCTGGAGTCTCTGTTCAGTTCCATTGCTGGATATGTTTGTTCTTGTGCCAGTAGCAGGCTGTTTTGATTACAGTGGCTTTGTAGAATAACACTATATCTGGTATTGTGATCCCTCACACTTTGTTCTTCTTTTTCAAGATTGCTGTGGCTATTCATATACAGTACATACTTGGGGAATTTTATCTAGACCAGTGAAATATGCTGTTGGTATTTTAATAGGCATTTCATTGAACTTGGGGTAGTATGGACATTTTAATGATGTTAATTCTACCAATCCATGAACACAGTATATTTTTCAACTTATTTTTATCTTGCACTTTCTCCTTTTTAAAAGTCATATAGTTTTCCGAGTACAAGTATTTTACTTACTTGGTTAAGTTTATTCCTAAGTATCTTAATTCTTTTTGTTGCAATAGTAATTGGGATTGTTTAGTTTCTCTTTCTGAGAATTCACTAGCTATATATATGGCTAATATGAAAAATGATCTCTTGGGATTTTGACCAGGAGACCAGGAGTTTGATCACTCACTATGACATGTGCTGACCACCAGGGGGTGGCATGGAATGAAGGAAGGCTGTGGCTGCCAGCTGGCAACCAGGGAAGGAAGGCCTCAGCCTGTAACTGGAAGGTCCTGATCAGCCCTTATCAGTGACCAGGTCTAGGGATCATGCTCATGCACGAATTTCATGCACCAGACCTCTAGTTGGTGTATGAAAATACCATGGGTTTCTGGGTTTTAATTTTGGGTCTTGCTACATTGCTGAATTTGTTTATTAAATCTAGTAGTTTTGGTGGAATCTTTAAGGTTTTCTAGGTACAATATCATATCATCTGTGAATAATAATCATTGTATTTTCCCTTTTTCCAATGTGAATGCCTTTTATTTCTTCTTGTCTGATCACTGTGGCTAGCACTTCCCTTACTATGTTGAGTAAGAGTAGTGGAAATGGACATCCCTGTCTTTTTTCTGTTTTTACAAAAAATGGTTTTCATTTTTGCCCATTGAGTATGATGTTGGCTGTAGGTTTGTCATATATGGCCTTCATTATGTTGAGGTAAGATCCCTCTATTCCCACTATGCTTAGAGATATTTTATCAAAAAATGAGTGTTGCATTTTGTTGAATGTTTTTTTCTGTGTCTATTGATGTGGTCATGTGATTTTTGTATTTCAATTTCTTTATGGGATGAATCACATTTATTGATTTGGGAGTATTGTACTAGCCTTGCATTCCTGGAATAAATCCCACTTGGTTATGGTATATGATCTTTTTAGTAGATCCGATTTGCTAATATTTTGTTGAAGGTTTTAGCATCTATGTTCATCAGGGATATATTGGCCTGTAATTTTCTTTCTTTATAGTGTCTTTATCTGGTTTGGGAATTGGGATAATGCTGGCCTCTAAAAATAGCCTGGAAGTTTTCTAAACTCTTGGAATTTTGGAATAGTTTTAGAAGTATAGGTGATAGTTCTTTGACTGTTTGGTAAAACTCCTCTGTTAGGCAATCTTGACCAGGGCTTTTGTTGCTGGGAATTTTTTGATTACTGCTTCTATTTCCTCAGTTGTTATTAGTCTATTCAGGTTTTATGATTATTCCTGTTTCAGTTTTGGGAGATTGTGTTTTTGTAGAAATACCCTCTATTTCATCTACATTGTCTAGCTTGTTGGCATACCGTTGTTCATAGTATTTTCTTACAATCCTTTGTATGTCTGTGGTGTCAGTGGTTACTTCTCCTCTCTCCTTTCTGATTTCATTTATTTGGGATCTGTCTCTTTGTTTTTTTGATGAGTCTGGCAAATGGTTCATCAATTTGTTTATCTTTTCAAGGAACCAGCTCTTGGTTTCACCAAGTCCTAATCTTGGTTGGAGGATGTGCGTCTCCTGCCAGGTCCCTGACCTCAGTGAAGACAGAGCTCCTCACACTGAGGAAATAGCACCCACAGGACATGATAATTATTGTGGGCTCACCTTTGTGTGAGAGGAGGCCACTTGGACCAGCTCTGGGCTTTGATACCTGAATGTCTTCTCCTTGGATCAGCGTGTCTCCAAAATGCTGCCCCTAGTGAGGTAATAAATCCATCCCTGTGCCAACCTCTTACAATTTAGATATCCTGAAGCCATAGAAACACCCCCTTGTGTGGGGTTCTCATGTCTCATTGAGTTTGGTAAATGTTCTGATAGAGCAGGATATTCACAGTCACTTCATTAGTCGTGTCCAACTTTCAGTTTGGATTGTTTGTATGAAGAGAGGAAGGCCCAGGCCTTAGACGAAACCCTTCCCCAGCTCCCTCTTCACCTGCTCCTGTGGCAGCAGCCTGTGCTACTGGGCCCTGAGCGCCCCCTACTGCCCATCTCTGGCTCTACAGGGGAGCATCCTGTCAGGGCTCACAGGGCATTGACCTCTCAGCATCTCTAGTCCAGTAGTGAATGCTGTGCCCTGATGTCCAATTGCTCCCTCAAGGATGCCGTGTGGCTTTTGTGTCTCTGAACAGAGTGAACTGGCCTTTATGAGCCCCTATGGCTCTGCAGGGAGACCCCAAATCAGGGCTTTAGGAAGCCACCAGGGAGCCCTTCCCTTGGCACTCACAGTTGCATAGACACAGCTGGCCCTCCTCTCATCCACAAGCTCCTGGGGGTCCTGGGGCCAGTTATGCCCTTAGGTTCCTCTCATTGAAGGTCTCATTTAACCCAGTGTGTGACCAAATCTCACAGAACTTTTAGTATTTAATAAATCACACACACACACACACACACACACACACACACACACACACACACACTGTGATGATATTCTTTGCTATGAAATCCACAGTTGCTCCTCTTCTCTCTACATCGCACATGAGCAGGGACCTCGTATGGATTCTGGGCCTGGGTGTGATGTTTTTGGAAGCCAATCAAATGCACCCATGATACAAACACAGACTTGGAAGAGCAGGAACTCGTGTGTCCATGTTCTTGCAGGTCCTGTATACCCAGATGCAGGTTAGAACAGTCAGGCTTGTTCCAGGGAGAGTCAGAGGTGGGGCTGGGTCACCCCTTTGACTACAGTTGTGCATTCCTGGAAGTCCCCTGGAGACACCCATCATGAATCAGGAAATACACCTCAGAACTGGGAGGGGAAGAGGCAGCGGCATTGTCAGCTGTCAGGTGAGACTGCTCTCCCAGGTCACCTGGTGGGTGGGGCTGCAGTGGCAAGTGAGTGAGTCCAGCTCTGGGAGGGACCCTGGCTTCCTCAGGACTCCTGGTTCCAAGATGAATTAGGAGTCTCTCTGTTCTTGGTGTCCATCCTGATGGTTAACTTCCCTGTGAGCTCCTGCCTGGTGGCCCTAATTCCTTCTTCCCACATGGAGACACCCACTACTCAGAGACCCACAGCTGCACCCTCAGCCCCTGCAGGAGACTCCTTCTCCTCCGGCATCGGCATCTCTGGTTCACCCTCATGGGTAGTCCCTGCCCTGAGTACAAGGTTGGGAGTGAGAATTCAGACTTCACTGGTAGTTACTCAGGCACCTACAAGGGAGAGTTCAGGGACATCCCCATTTCCTCAGGGCCATTGGTCTGTGCTGGTCCATCAAGGGTACAGCTGTGGGTTTCTGAGCAGTGGGTGTCTCCATGTGGGAGGCAGGGAATAAAGACAAACAGGCGGGAGTTCACAGGAAAGTTAACCATCAGGATAGACACCAAGAATAGACAGACTCCTAATTCATCCTGGAACCAGGAGTCCTGAGGAAAGTGTGTGCCATCACTTCCTATAAGTCAGTGTACATTTATCCTCTACGTGGCTCTTGTCCTGATGTGTTGTCACATGTGCACCCTACATTAAGCAACATCCTTTCTAAACAATGTTCACAGCAAAGTGACCACCAAAATGAATCTCTATCGCTACAGGAAATGTCCATCAGGAATGTTACTGCATGAAGGGGGCTGATGGCAGCTTCAGACCACTTGTCTGGGATGTGTCCTGCGTGACTCTGGAGGAATGCACATGTCAAATGAATAGATGATGTGCGTTGCGTGCACTGACTAAAATTTTATAGAAGACATCAAGGGACATGGGAGTGCCTGTCTGAAGTAAGGGGCAAGGTCGGGCAGTGTGTATCAGTCTGAGGACAGAATGTGAGGTTCTTTTTAAAAAATACGAGAAGCCCAATGCATCAAATTCATGTAAGAGTAGGCCTTCCTTCCCTTGGCTGCTGTCACTAGCTTCCCTTTAACCACTGGCAGGCCCCCAGGGGTCAGGCTTCCCTTGAAGCCCTGGCTTCATCAGGAAGTTCATCTGGTCTAATTAACATATTATGCTTTTATTGTTATTGATATTTTATTCATTTCAGAGAGGGAGAGAAAGAAATATAGAAACATCAGTGGTGAGAGAGAATCATGGATCTGCTGCCTCCAGCATGCTCCCTGCTGGGGAACCAATCCAGTGATCATGTGCCCTCACCCGAATCAAATTATGACTTCCTGGGCCATAGGTCAATGCTTTAGCACAGAGCCACACCAACTGGGCCAGAGAGTATGAGCTTAAACCTGAGGTCACTGATGTCAGTGCTGTTTCCCTTTGAAGGAAATGTGTCCCCATCAGGGACATGAGAATGGTCAGGCTGATCTGCTCATGGAGAAGGTCCTGTAGGGAACTGGTGAAGGGAACCTCTAGTGCCTGCTCATCACTCACCTGCAAGCACAGTGCTCCTTCTCCTTCTGATCCCAGCGATGATGTGAGAACTTAGAGATTTGAAGAACAAGATATGCTCTTCCCTGGGAGCAAAGAGCAATGTGGAGAGGCGCGAAAAATACCCATTATAATAGGAAGCTCCCCTCTGCCCCTCTGCACCTTCCCAAGAGTAGAGAAGTGTGACCTGCTGGTCCTGAGCACCCTCTGCAGCCCAGCCCTGCTGTCTCCTCAGGGAGGTTTGTGTCAGGGCTCACAATTACTTCCCTTCACTGTGTCTTGTACAGTAATAAATGGTCATGTCCTCAGATGTCAGCTTGGTCATTTTAAGAGAGACTGTGCTCATAGGGTTGTCCCTGGAGATTGTGAATCTTCCTTGAACTGCTGGAGCATCTCACTGACCCTTTCCAGTTGGTTGACTCACTCTTGCCACACACTGCAGCCCTTTCCCTAAAGCCTGGTGGACCCAGTGCATGTTGTAGTCAGTGAAGGTGAATCCAGAGGCTTTGCATGTTAGGCACAGAGACCCCCTGGGTGGCACCAGGCCTCCCCCAGACTCCACCAGCTGAACTTGGCACAGGCCACCTGCAAACAGAGAAACACACTGAGAACTGCCCCGTGTCACACAGTTCCCATGAGTCTGATGCATAGGGATGCAGCTTTTGGCAGCAAAGAGAAGGGCAGCCCAGATGAGGGCAGACCCCATGATGTGGGCACTAAGGGGCTCACACAGGACGCTCCTCTCCAGGGTCTGTAGAGACTGAGCCTGGCAGGTTTTTATGAGCAGGGGAGGCACTGCATTTGCATGTCTTTCCCTGAGGACCTGTCTGAGCTGCCAGGGGGCTCCTCCCTTCCTGTAAACACCAAGGGACTGGGGATGGCCTCATGGGAAGGGCTGGTAGACAAGGGCCTCTAGGCCAGGACACAGGGGCACTCAGCTGGTCTGAGCATTCTAATAGCTCATCTGTGAATAATGATAGACACACTCTGCCAGGACGGAAAGTGGGACTTTTAAGGTTCTCCAGTGCAGGTTGCACATATAACCTCTCAAGAGACATCCTGGGACAGGATTGTGGAGATGACAGTGCCCCCTACTGGTTGTTCTGAGCCTCATGGTCTGAAGACAGGTGTCTGAACCAGCTGCCTGAGACAAGGCAAGCATATCTGCCATGGGGAAGCCTTCCCTGGCATTTCTGAAAGAGTGGCAGCCCCAGTCCTGCTACTTGTACGCAGTTGGTTCTCCGAAAGGATGCTCTGGGCCTCAGGCAGCAGCCTCGGGGGATAACCTGAGGAACATAACCCTCTGCAGACCAGGCCTCTAGTGCCAGATCTCAGCTTGCACGTGGGAGGTGCTGTCACCCGGTCTTGTGTGCACACTCAGCATCCTGGAGTGTCCACCATGTGGCACAGCAGTGCCTGTTTAGCTCAGGGAACATATTTTCTGATATTTGTGGGGTACCCTCCCTGATTGTTGGCAGTGGAGCTTCAGGGAGCTGTGAGCACAGGAGACAGGCTCATCATAGACAGAGGACAGTTCCCTTTCCAGGAACCAGGAACTTTAAATACATCCCCTGAGACCCCGTGTCTGTGAATTCTAGGATTGTGCTCAAGATCATATCAGTAAGTCTCACTGGAGAGGACAGCACAGCCCTCCTCGCTCTGGGACATGAGGAAGTGGGCCCACCTCTGCAGGGGTGATTTTCATCCCTTGCTTTTAGCCTCTGAAAGGTCATTTCCTCCATTTTTTCATGAACGAAGCCTTGAGTCCAAAGTCTTACCACCTGGGAGGTCAATGAACTCGTTGGATGATTATGTCATAAACTCTAACCCCTGGATGCAGGTCTTTGAAGAGCCCCAAGAGCAGCTCAAGGAGAATATGCTGGCCCTTTGTTGAACACCTGGGCATGGGGGCTGACCTGTCCCAGGACCATGGAGGGAAGAGCACCTGACATCCAGAACAGGTGAGGCCTTTCTCATCAGGGTCCCTGGTCCCTTGGTGTTTGGAGATGTGCACAGGTCTGATCTTGCCAGAGAGGGGAGGTGTGC